AATCATCTCAAGATAACCTCAAGATAACCCTCTACTGTATGTGAGGTCTTCTTGCTCCAACTCCTATGCTCATAACCCTACATTTGTCAGGGTTAAAATCTAGTAGCCATTTTTCAGACCATCTCTGGAGATTGTCTAGGTCATCTTGCAGTGGTTTGTAATCCTCCTCAGTTCTGATTCGCCTCATTAGTTTAGCATCCTCAGCTAAATATATATCATACTTCAATATGATACAAGTAAACTCATGGATAAGAATGAGTTTACTTAATCTGTTAGATCATTTACATATATTAGGAACAAGTTAGGCCCTGGTACCGAACCTTGAGGTACTCCACTCGTTACCTTTCTCTATTTTGACAGCGCTCCTCTTACTATGACTCTTTGCCTTCTTCCTGAAAGGAACCCCTTCACCCATTTTAGTATTTTTTTTCGACACCTAAATCTGCTTCATCGAGTTTCCATAGGAGACGCTTCTGAGGAACAGTGTCAAAGGCTTTCTGGCAATCCAGGAAAATGCAGTTTGCCCAGCCTTCTCTATCCTGTTAAGACAGTTGTTATCTTGTCAAATAACTCTTATTTAACTCAATAACTTTTGGATAGCAGCCTCCTCTTTTGGGTAGCAGCCTCCTCTTTTGGGTAGCGGCCTCCTCTTTTGGATAGCAGCCTCCTCTTTTGGGTAGCGGCCTCCTCTTTTGGATAGCAGCCTCCTCTTTTGGGTAGCGGCCTCCTCTTTTGGGTAGCAGCCTCCTCTTTTGGGTAGCGGCCTCCTCTTTTGGGTAGCGGCCTCCTCTTTTGGGTAGCAGCCTCCTCTTTTGGGTAGCGGCCTCCTCTTTTGGGTAGCAGCCTCCTCTTTTGGGTAGCGGCCTCCTCTTTTGGGTAGCGGCCTCCTCTTTTGGGTAGCAGCCTCCTCTTTTGGGTAGCGGCCTCCTCTTTTGGGTAGCGGCCTCCTCTTTTGGGTAGCAGCCTCCTCTTTTGGGTAGCAGCCTCCTCTTTTGGGTAGCAGCCTCCTCTTTTGGGTAGCGGCCTCCTCTTTTGGGTAGCAGCCTCCTCTTTTGGGTAGCGGCCTCCTCTTTTGTGCAGCAGCCTCCTCTTTTGGGTAGCGGCCTCCTCTTTTGGGTAGCGGCCTCCTCTTTTGTGTAGCAGCCTCCTCTTTTGGGTAGCGGCCTCCTCTTTTGGGTAGCAGCCTCCTCTTTTGGGTAGCGGCCTCCTCTTTTGGGTAGCAGCCTCCTCTTTTGGGTAGCGGCCTCCTCTTTTGTGCAGCAGCCTCCTCTTTTGGGTAGCGGCCTCCTCTTTTGTGCAGCAGCCTCCTCTTTTGGGTAGCGGCCTCCTCTTTTGGGTAGCGGCCTCCTCTTTTGTATAGCAGCCTCCTCTTTTGGGTAGCGGCCTCCTCTTTTGGGTAGCAGCCTCCTCTTTTGGGTAGCGGCCTCCTCTTTTGGGTAGCAGCCTCCTCTTTTGGGTAGCGGCCTCCTCTTTTGTGCAGCAGCCTCCTCTTTTGGGTAGCGGCCTCCTCTTTTGGGTAGCGGCCTCCTCTTTTGTGTAGCAGCCTCCTCTTTTGGGTAGCGGCCTCCTCTTTTGGGTAGCAGCCTCCTCTTTTGGGTAGCGGCCTCCTCTTTTGTGTAGCAGCCTCCTCTTTTGGGTAGCGGCCTCCTCTTTTGGGTAGCCTGATCACATGCTCATTTACCAACATCGTCTTCCTCATGTGGCTCTATAGTAGTTGAGGCTGATCCTTGGCCTTGGGTGCTAAATCATTTAAATACTCTTCTGCTGCTTTCCCAAATCCTGAGCATTCATTCCTCACTCTTGTATACAGGTCGAGGTTCTCCTCTGTTCTGTCCTCTCAGTATTTTTTCTGAGCTCTTTTACTTCTTTTTGCCTCTAAGCATTGTCCATTAAACCATGTGTGTGTGTGTGTGTGTGTGTGTGTGTGTGTGTGTGTGTGTGTGTGTGTGTGTGTGTGTGTGTGTGTGTGTGCGTGCGTGCGTGTGAGTCTAACGCCCAGGTCAACTACTTACCATCACCAGAATGCAGCCTCTAGAAGCTGCATCCACTGCCAAATTGTTTCTACTTTCGGTTTGCCTCCTTTTCCCACCTCCCTTCCCGTCCCCTTTCCCATCCTCTCATCTCCTTGCTCCTCATCTTCGCCATCCACGTAACTCGAACTCCTTTTTGATCAAGTATTTACTTTACATCCCACGATATAGATCCCTTCCACCTCCACCTCACTCTCTTCCCCCTCCCAGGACTTCTACCCGCACCCCGTCTCCCCCCCCCCCCACCCCCCCCTCCCCCCCCCCCCCCCACGCCCCTCTCCCCCCCCCGCCCCTCTCCCCCCTCCCCACATCCCTCCCTGCTCCCTCCCCTCCCACATAAAGCTGGTAAAGCTCCCGGCCGCCCGCCCTAATAGCATTACAAATGAATGATCGTACTTTTAATCGCCTCGATCTCGCCTCCGCTGCAAAGATGGAATGAAGATCTGGGAGCGTTGATGGACGATTTTTTGGAGGGAATTCTCTCTCTTTTCTTTTTCTCTTTCGTCCCCCTTCCCTCCCCTCCCCTAGCCCTTCATTCCCCTCCCGTTCTTACCCTACCCCCAACTCTTCCCTTCCACAGGCGCGGGTGTAGGTGGTACGGGGGCCAAGGACCCTGTGGTTGGTATTGACTGTGTGGTTGATATCTTGGACTAATATATCGCAGTCTAACTTATGAAGACGTAACTGTAGAGCTGGTGGGAAGCTGTAGCTCCAGATGCACTACTGTTTGAGAGTCAGATCCTTCAAGCTGTGTGTAGGGAACTTGGAACATTATTTGTGTACGATTTTCCAAGATGTGTAAAGAGGTACAAGTTAGATTATGGTATAAATCGAATTATTGTTGATGCCATAAATTATTTTTTGTAGTATAAACTGCACTAAGACCTTGAACTTGACTTCTGGGTATTGAACGAGAGAAATATTACTGAACACACACACACACACACACACACACACACACACACACACACACACACACACACACATCACGGGGCCGATTGGCCGAGCGGACAGCATGCTGGACATGCGATGTGATCCTGTGGTCCCGGGTTCGATCCCGGGCGTCGGCGAGAAACATTGGGCAGAGTATCTTTCACCCTATGCCCTTGTTACCTAGCAGTAAATAGGCACCTGGGAGTTAGTCAGCTGTCACGGGCTGCTTCCTGGTGTGTGTGTGATATGTGAAAAAAATAGTAGTAGTAGTAGTTAAAAACAGTTGATTGACAGTTGAGAGGCGGGCCGAAAGAGCAGAGCTCAACCCCCGCAAGCACAACTAGGTGAGCACACACACACACACACACACACACACACACACACAGTTGCTGGCTGTGGTAGTGGTAGGAGTTCAAGAACAGGAAGACTAATCAGGAGTGGAGATAGAAGGACCAAGCAACTGTGGCACAGATCTTGAAGGGTTTACAAATGGGGTGATAGTAGGAAAGAGAAAGTTTTCAGGCTGGGCAGTTACAAGGAAAGAAATCGACTGATAAAGATATTATTTCACAAAGGAGACTACAAAGGAGACAATCTTATCCAAGAAGAACAAACATTACATTGCATGTAATAGAATACAACAATGTTTTTCTTCAGAGGGACATGACAAAGGAAGAGAGAGACTAGTCAGCAGAAGCAAGGAAGAGATGCAAAGAGAGGGAAGGGCATGGGAAAGCCACAGGCTTCCCCATGCCCTTCCCTCTCCATGCTCAGAAATTTCAGTAACGTCAGAGGGGAGTGGGGAACCCTCCAGTGGCAGGCCAGCAATCCCAGAGATAAGTGGAACAGAAGACTAGACCACCCTCCATCCCATCCCTGAACACTCTTTCTCTTCCAAACAGTATCAACACCTTCCCATCCCATGCCCCTTCTATTTCCCCACCCCGTTCACTCCTGTTTCCCCATATCGTGCCCTCCCTACTCCCCCATCCCAGGCCCTCCTTTCCCCCAATCCCATGACCTACCTGCACCCCTATCCTAGGCCCTCCCTGCCCCATATCCCTGGTCCTCCCTCCCCCATCTCAAAACCTCCCAGCCCCCATCGTAAACCCATCCAAACCCTCTTACCCCTTCCATTCAAGACCCTCCCTGCCCCCCCCCCATCCCAGGGCCACACTTCCCTCCCTTGCCCTACAATGCCAGGGTTTCTGTGCCCTAACGACCCCACACTTTGTAATTCTAGACAAAATTTAAACCCCACACTCCCCACTCCAGGAACCTACAAACTCCTCACCTCAATCTACCTCCACCTTCCGCCCCAGCCCATAGTATTTTACCCAGCATGCAATAACCTCACAGGCCAACCTCCCACGCCAGTGGTATCGACACCAAGGGTTAATAGAAATTGACAGAGGAAAGTTAGCTTCAGAGTAATGTATTCAAACATAGATGGGATTACAAAAGTGAATTTGGGGAAGGAACACAGGAAGACAATCCAGACGAAATAGCACTCACTGAAACAAAACAAAATTGTCAGGGGTTATAACAAAAGCAGTGTTTCTTCAGGACTACATTGTAATAAGCAAGTAGAGGGAAGGAAGGAAGGAAGAGGAGGAAGAGACAAGGCCGTGCTGATATGTGAATTGGACCTCAAATTGTTGAAAGACAGAAGAGCTAGGGGAGACATGATTACCACATACAAAATTCTCTGAGGAATTGATAGGGTAGATAATGACTGATTTTATAACACGAGTGGTATTCACACAAGGGGACACAGGTGGAAACTGAGTAAGCAAATGAGCCACAGAGATATTATAAATATTTTTTTCAGTGACAGAGTAGTTAATAAATGGAATGCATTAAGCAGTGATGTGGTGAAGGCTGACTCCATACACAGTTTCAAATGTAGATATGATAGAACCCAGTAGGCTCAGGAACCTGTATACCAGTAGATTGATAGTTGAGAGGCGGGACCAAAGAACCGAAGCTCAACCCCAGCAAACATAGTTAGGTGAGTATACTCTCTCTTTTTAAGACCTTGTCTCTCTTCCACCACCCTCTCCCTTTCTCCCTCCGCAGGTGTGGTAAGAGGGTGAGAGCTCATCTCCCTCCCCACCACCCCTCACACCCTCTGCAGGTGTATGACTGGATGGGTCAGATGTGAGGAAAAGGTGTGAGTGTGTCTCCCTCCCCATCACCCTTCTCTTCCTCCGCGGGTGTGTGACAGGAGGCGTGAGGTGTGTGTGGGGAAGGGTGAGAGTGCCGCGTCAACTGCCGGTCGTAATTGACCCTAACGAGGTTTTCCTGTTCTTTTCATCAACAACATACTTTTGTCCAGAGTGATGTTCATTCGTTACCCGGGGGCGGGTTCGAGGCACACCTTCCTTACTTCCTGGGTCGTTGGCTAGCTGGTTGTTGCCTCAGTGGCTCGTTGGCTAGCTTTCTGGCTCGTTGGCAGTTTTGGTGGCTCGTTGAGAAGCCTGCTATCTCGTTGGTAGACTTGATGACTCGTTGGCGAGTTTACTGGTTTAATAGTTCGTTCATTGACTCCATTGAAAGCTGGTCCACGCTAACTGGTTCATTCATCTAATCGTTTGCAATCAAAATGAACATATACATGCGCATATTCCATTGCCATGATGCGTGTGAGGCTTTCTGACATTAATTTGGCTGAGCTTACCGTAGAAACGGATTTCCTTAGTCTTGTTCTGTCGTGAGAAACCGGACATGTAGGTCGGCGTTCAATCCCCGACCGCCCAAGTGGTTAGGTACCATTCCTTCCCTCCGTCCCATCCCAAATCCATATCCTGACCCCTTCCAAGTGCTATATAGTCGTAATGGCTTGGCGCTTTCCTCCCTGATAGTTCCCTTCAAGCCAGGCTCACCAGTCCGCGGGCGTCTGTGACCAACTCGTCGTCAAACAACCCGTCCTTCTAATAGAACGTCGCGTTTTGACGTATACTCTACCTGAGGGCAAAAACTGTCGTACTAGAAAATGGTAGCGGCTCGCGAAGATTGATGATTGATGAAGATTAAGCCACCCAAAAGGTAGCACGGGCATGAATAGCCCGTAAGTGGTGGCCCCTTTGAGCCATTACCAGTATCAAGAGCTGATACTGGAGATCTGTGGAGGTGCGACTGCACCCTGCGTGACGGGAAATGTCTCCCGTGGCTCGCGAAGTTGACATACTGTCCCGTTTTCTGTTTTGGGTCCTCTGGTAGGTTAGGATAAGGACACTTTAGTACGATAGTTTCTTGACGTTGGGAAACCTTAGGTGGACGGGCTGGGTCAAGGGCTCAGATGCAGTCCGTGTTGTCTCTTTCCTTAACTCTTATTAACTAAATGTGCTTTACATACGAATCGTAAATGATTACGCTCGAAGATTTGATCCGAAAGTTTTCTCTAGCAACCTGTGTTTACAATCCATCAGTGCTCTAGACAAAGGCAGACCATCATCGGAACACCGGGGAAGTGTTTGGTAATCCAGCAGCCTTGTTCCTGTTTTGAAAGAAAAAACATTGAATATGACTCGCAAATGATTATGATTGACGTTTTCTTGTATGATGCTTCACTCTCTTTTTTGTGTTCGAATGCGCACCTTCCTAAGCGATTCACCCACGTATATAACATGTAAACAATTACGCAACAGAACAAAAAGTTGTAACCTAACCACTCCGTGGTGGAACTATATACATAATGAAAATGTGCATTAATATTACTATATATTTGAGAAAGTATAGTTTTTGGTTACACTTGCAGGCGATGAGTCACAATAACGTGGCTAAAGTGAGTTGACCAGACCACACACTAGAAGGTGAAGGGACGACGACGTTTCGGTCCGTCCTGGACCATTCTCAAGTCGATTGGTTACACTTCCTTAAAACTAATGAATGTTTGGGTTGCAGCTTGAACGAGCATAACCTCGGGCCAGGATAAAATAGACAAAATCTTGAGATGATTTCGGGGCTTTTTTTTTTTTAGTGTCCCTGCGGCCCGGTCCTCGACCAGGCCTCCACCCCCAGGAAGCAGCCCGTGACAGCTGACCACCTCCCAGGTACCTATTTACTGCTAGGTAACAGGGGCATAGGGTAAAAGAAACTCTGCCCATTGTTTCTCGCCGGCGCCCGGGATCGAACCCGGGACCACACGATCACAAGTCCAGCGTGCTGTCCGCTCGGCCGACCGGCTCCCTCGCATGGCAACCTTAGACCTGACACAACCCACCCTAGTCGTAACTGCACACAGATAATACACAATAATATTACATTTGAGACAATACCATTTTTTTATTACGCCGTACGTTAAATATAACGATTGTGCATTTTGGGACGGTTGCCACAGGGATGAGTATGGCCTGGGGATAGGTTGAACGACCGCTCCATGGAATGAATTGAAGAGCAGCAACGCAGCAAGCATTCAATACCTCATCCCAAACTGGCCGCAGTAACACCAAAGAGTTAGAACTGATGGGTAACTTGTGTATACAATAGTGCTACATATTGCTAAATATCTATCATACCCGGCAATACCTGGATATCATACTTTCATTCCAAAGGTTCAAACCCCGATATCGAACATGTCAAATTTTCCCAGGATGAACGACGCCGATGTTGCAGTGAATTGACGTTGATGACGTTCATCCTACGTCGACTGAGAGCCAATCAAGCATGTTTAGGCTGGTGGATTATTTAGTATGTATGTATTAGGCGGGGAAACCCGGCGGTGCCCGGGGGCAGTCTGTCTACCCCCCCCCCCCCCACCCCACCCCTCTTCATTTCCCTCTCCCCATATCTCCCTTCTTCACCCATTTTTCCCTCCTCTCCCTTTTTCCTGTCACATCCTCCTTTAACTCCCTTCCTTGGAGTTAAAGGAAGGGAAGGGGTCTTCCTGTCCCCCCCCCCCCCAATCTTGGACAGACAGATAGACAGGTTCACATTCTTATAGATGGTTTATCTGATGGATAGGATGGATAAGAGATGGATGGAAACGAGGAGTACAGGTTGTTATGAGCAGTTTATAGAAATAGTTTATATAGAATTCATAAAAATAAGTAGAGTGTCTATTGAGTTTGTTACTGGTTTGTAGTGCTGCCGGCGGTACGATCAAGTAATAATATATAAACTACTGGCTGAATTTAGACATAATAGTTGACTAAATAGTAAGCAGCCAGTAGGATAATTAGAGTGTGCGTTTTGTAAGTGCCCAGCTGCTTGCGTGTCAAGAACAGGGCCCCCCCCCCCAGTCTGCGGGCAAAGCTTATATAAACGCTGGTTCGTTGTGCGCACAGCTTGGGGTTGTGCGCACAGCTTGGGGTTGTGCGCACAGCTTGGGGTTGTGCGCACAGCTTGGGGTTGTGCGCACAGCTTGGGCGGTTAGACTCATCTCCCAGACATACGTTTTCTTCTTGCAGAAAACCCACCGCTTTTTTGGGAAAAAGCAGTGTTCTTATTTGGGCAGAACACATTAAGGAACGTGGACAGTTACGGTATACGCTTGTTTCAGATTGCTTGCTGCCAGGAGAGGCAAGCGCACTCAATTTGGTCATTGCGATCTGTAAGGAAATTTGTGTCAGTTTTGCCAGCATAATTTCCCTTAAGATAAGTTACATTCTTTTTCGTATCTGCCACCGTGTACATATTTATCACTCACGGTGTTTGTCAGGAAGAGTGACCTGAAAGAGGCTGGTGTACAGGTGTTAATGTTGATTAGGTGTTATTTACACCCAACCATTTGTGCTGGACGGTAGAGCGACGGTCTTGCTTCATGCAGGTCGGCGTTCAATTCCCGACCGTCTAAGTGGTTGGGCACCATTCCTTCCCTCCGTCCCATCCCAAATCGTTATCCTGACCCCTTCCAAGTGCTATACAGTCGTAATGGCTTGCTGCTTTTCTCCTGATAGTTCAATTCAATTTTTTTTCACTAGTGTGTTAATTCTTGCCTAGTATATTGTGGGTGTAAATCCTTGCTTCTATCAAACGGGAGTATTGGATCTTATAGTATATGTCAATAGGCGAGATCATGTTATGATTGTGTGTCGGGAGGGAGGGGGGGGGGGGTTAATAAATTAATAAATACATTGTTACCACTATGTTTATAAATCCCGAGGGCTTGGTGAGGAAGTATAGTCATTCTCTTGAGACTAAACTTTGGGAGTCTCTTCCCTGGAGGCCGGGCCCTGGAGGCCGGGCCCTGGAGGCCGGGCCCTGGAGGCCGGGTCCTGGAGGCCGGGCCCGGAAGGCCGGACCATGGAGGCCGGGTCCTGGAGGCCGGGCCCGGAAAGCCGGACCATGGAGGCCGGGCACTGAAGGCCGGGTCCTGGAGGCCGGGCCCGGAAGGCCGGACCATGGAGGCCGGGCCCTGGAGGCCGGGTCCTGGAGGCCGGGCCCGGAAGGCCGGACCATGGAGGCCGGGCACTGAAGGCCGGGCTGCTTCCAGGGGATGTCTGTGTGTGTGTGTTAAGAGAGAAATATGTATGTAGTAAACACGACAGGAAAATTGGTTGAGAATCAGTACTCCTGCAGACACAAACAGTAAACACACAGGGAGTGAGGGGCCTGGTGGGATGATGGTGGCTACGTTCCTCAACAGCATGGCTGCAATTGGCGAGAAGTAAACAAAAAGTGAAAGAGAGAGAGGAGCGACATAGCTGGCAGGCGGCGCCCCGGTCGGCCGGCCGCTCGGCCTTTGTCGTCGAGGGGGACATGTTCCCTAGTGCTAAAAGGGCGGCTTTGTTGCCCCGGCAGCGGGACACTATTATTGGCAGATAGTCCGTGATTAATTTGAAGGGGGGGGCGAACTATATTAACTTGCAATATTTGGAAATGTTACGTTGAGTTCCGCGGGTTTCACGCGTCCGTTCGTTTAACATTGGGTGCGCATATGTGAAAAAGCTGTTGTGAGTTAATCCACTGGTAATGGACACGTCCTGTACGTGTGGAGAAGCTTTTTATATCATTAATGGAAAACGATTATCATAAGTAACGCCCGGGGCTGTTTGGACACGGCTGTAATGTTAACCATCGTCACGGTGAAGCGGACTACCTGCAGCTGCTGCAGCTTTACCCGTGACCCGGGTCGTGGGTGGGGCGCCACCACCTCCGCGCCTTCACTCAAGAATGTGGAGACCTGTGTAGAATTGCA